GCATGGGGGTGGGAGTTGGGATGTTGGAATGGGAAAGTGTGGGAAGGAACTGCGTGGTGATGGAGCAGTGTCCCAGATGGTGGTCTCCTCCTGTGGCCCCCCGCCCCGGGGCGTGTTGACTCCCCAGATCGGTTTGCAGGCAGGTTTATGAGTCAACCCCATCTGTGCCATCATCTGCCTGGGGCAGGTGTAAAGAACCCCGAGGACAAGGGTGTGCAGCGGGGGCAGACAGTGGGCTTACATTACCCGGGGCTCCGCCGCGGCACACTGGGAAACAGTAGGCTCAGGTGTGTCCCTGGCACTCCAGGGTCTCCTAATCCCACCAGGAGACAAGGCTGAGATGGCAAGGTGAGTACAGTCAGGCCCTGCATGACTATGGGTCAACATCACAACATACACAGTGGCCCCCTAAGATGGTCTCACCTGGGCTGGCCCTACATGCAGCAGGTTCCCATATGAGTGCCAGCTTGACATCAGGCTGCCCTACTTCTGAGCCAGCTCCCTGTTAATGCACCTGGAAAAGTAATGGAAGATGGCCCGAGTCCTTGGGCCCCTGCACTCATGTAGGAGACCCAGAAGAAGCTCCTGGCTCTTGGCTTCAGACTGGTCTGATCAGCTGTTGCAACCACTTGGGGGAGGGAACCAGCAGATGGAAGATCTCGCTCTCCTCCTCTCTAATTCTGCCTTTCAAATAAGTAAATAAATCCTAAAAAGTCTCCCCCAGTGGTAGTGGAGCCATCTCATGTGTGTGAGGATGCTGTGGGATGCCTGCACGGTGACAGTCACCTGCCGAGGCACCTGTCAGGACAATGTCATTATCCTGTCCGGACAACGTGCTTTCAGAGCCACAGCAAAACAGTGGCCAGGCAGGTCCGACTCCTGCCCGACCAGCTAGGCCAGGCAGCTCGGCGGAGACGCTAGCACAAAGCAGAGCACTTCCAAAACTGGGAAACGGAATTCAAAGCTGCTTTGAGCATAAAAATCGCGCATGGCCGTACGTGTGAGTTTCCACAGTCAGGATCCTCGGACACATCGTCTGTCTACAGGAAGACGCAGGGGCAGAGGGTGGGGACAGGCTGCTGCCGGGCTCCACACCCCGGCCCAGGGACGCTACCTCCCTCACCTGCAGCCTGGAGCGTGACAGGAACTCCTGGGGGTCTTAGAACCACATTAGCCAGAGAAGCTGTGGGCAGGGGGCCTCCTGAACCTCCCCCAAACCCCGGCATGCCAGAGCAGGTGTGCACAGGCTGAGCTTGGAGCTGACCGCCTGCCTGGAGTTCCGGGAATGTCAGGGTGACGTTGACAGGGCCCCTCTGCATTGCTCACTGTTCATCTCTGCTGTGAGACTCCTCCACGTCACTCCACCTCCTCCCCTCGTGGGCCCCAGCTGCTGCCTCTTCCAGACGCCCCCTCAACACACTCCACCAAACCCAAACCCAGCAGTACCCTGGATGGAGCACGGTGCTCAGAGACCTCAGGGAAGAACTTGAAAATTGGAAACAGGAAGGCGGATGCTCTCGCTTTAAGAGGCAGAGAGAGAGCTTTTCATTCCTTGGCTTATTCCCCCAAGTACCTGCAACAGCCAGGGCTGGGACCAGGGCACAGCTAGGCGCCCAGGACTCCGTGGAGTGTTCCACGTGGGTGGCAGGGACCCCAGTGCTTGGGTCACCTGCTGCCTCCCAGCCTGCACGTTAGCAAGAGGCCGGAATCCGAAGCAGAACAGGCACTGGAACCAGGCACTCAGATATGGGCGGGAGCGCCCAGGTGGGCCCGCAAAGCTGGGCAGTGGGTCCCAGCAGAACCCGAGCCTCTCGCGGCGAGGGCAGAGGGTAGGGGTCTGCGGCGGCCGCGTGGTCCCTGGTGCGGGTTGGGACCGGGTGTAGGCGATAAGGCCCCGCTGCGCAGAGGACGGCACAAGGGCGCACAGCCCCACCGCGGACGAGGACCGGTGTGGAAGACGCTCCAGCAGGGGACGCATCCCGGGTCGCGGGAGGCAGGTGGGGGGCGGCTCGGCCCGCTCCTGCAGTTCTGGGACGCTCCTGCGCTGTCCAGGGAGGCCAGCTGGAGTCAGGGAGGCAGGGGGTTCTCCTGAGATCGCAGCGCGGTCAGACAGAGGTGAAGTCCTGCCATAGCCGTAAAGCCGCCGCCTGCGACGCAGGCCTGGGAAAGCAGCTGAAGATGGAGAGAGCGAGCGCGCGAGCCAGCGCAAAGCCAGGAGGCATTGGCCCTGCTGCTGCCTTCTCTGGCCCAGCTTACAAAATAGGGCCGAAGGTGGTGAGGGTTAAACGGGGATCGGCATGGCCACAGGATATGCTTAGCCCCGGCCAGCCCCCCACCCCCACCCCGTGAATGCCAGGCTGTGAGTGGAGTAGAGGAATCCAGCACCCACAGTTGATCTCCATCCCGAGGAACCGCCCCTCACCCCATCTTTCGAGGGATTGGCTCATTTCTCTGTTTTTTTAAAGGATCTATTTATTTATTTGAAATTCAGAGTTACAGAGAAAGGTCTTCCATCTTCTGGTTCACCCCCCAAGGTGACCCCAGCAGCAAGGGTCATGCCAGGCTGAAGCCAGGCGTTTCCTTCGGGTCTCCCATAGGCATGCAGGGGCCCAAGCACTTGGGCAGCCCCTACAGATGCCTAGAACATTCCTCAGAGGCAAGACGGGAAAGGTTGCCTTGTGGCAGCTGACTGCACAATGGACCCTTAACAGGGAAATGCAATGGAGAATCCTACTAGTTCCCCAGTAATTATGTGAAGATGAGTTGTTCTATCAGGCTAGGAGGAAGAGTAGTAGGGGCTGCTCTCATTTATTTATTATTTTATTTTAAAAGGTTGACTTATTTGAAAGGCTGAGTTAAGAGATGAGAAGAGAGAGATCTTCCATTGTTATTCCCAAAATGACCACAAAGTCCAGGGCTAGGCCAGGCAGAAGCCAGGAGCCTGGGAATCCATCCAGGTCTCCCGTGTGGGCACAGGGACCCAAGTATCCGGGGCATCTCCCACTGCTTTCCCAGGTGCATTAGCAGCGGAGCAATTAGGACTGGAACCGGCTCGCCTATGAGATGCTGGCATTGCAGGAGGTGGCTTTAACCTCTTGTAGCGTCTACAGGAGACATGGTCACATTATTTTACGTATTTTCACGAAATCGCCCCTGAGCCTGCATTTCTTCCACAAAGTTCTGCAGCATCAAACCTCAGGTGTAACTTTTTGTCAGTGAGGCGTGGACATGTGGTTTATTGTCACACCAGAATTCCACCACTGGTGTCTCCTCCCACGGTGAACTGACTGTTGGCATCCTTTGCAGATTTTGTATTGCGCATGCGATGTTTTCGTCCTCACTGATTTCCCAGAGGTTCTTTGAACAAGCCTGAAGGAATTACCACCTTGGAACCTGGCCTTGTGTGCCAATCCCTGAAGCATGTTTTTTAAAACATTTATTTATTTTAAAGTCAGAGTTACAGAGAGAGAGAGAGAGAGAGAGAGAGAGAGAGAGAGAGAGAGAGTGGGGTCTTCCATCTGCTGGTTTACTCCCCAGTTGGCCACAATGGCCGGAGCTGCGCCAATCCAAAGCCAGGAGCTTCTTCAGGTCTCCCACACAGGTGCAGGAGCCCAAGGACCTGGGCCAACTTCTACTGCTTTCCCAGGCCATAACAGAGAGCTGGACTGGAAGTGGAGCAGCTGAGACTCAAACCGGTGCCCATATGGGATGCCAGCACTGCAGGCAGTGGCTTTACCCGCTACGCCACAGCGCCAGCCCCCCTGAAGCATTTCTAAATGAAACAGAATATAGAACTTGGGAGAATCACATGCCACATCTTCTGTTGGCAAAGCATTAGAGCTGTGAGGACACCAGTGATGCAAGTCCCCATGCGCACACAGGCGCAACACTGACCCCAACCTGCCCTGTCCTGGTGTCTCGCCTTCATATCTCCTCAGGCTTCCAACAGCTTCTAACTATGCCACGTGCATTTTCAGACACTCAGATGTGATCCTTGACAGTGATCGAGCAGGGACCACAGCATTGGGGCAACACGTTTTTTATTTGAAACTCTTCTATAAAAAATGATTCACTGATTCTGACAGCAAGCATGGATGTGAAAGCATTTGTGGCCCGGTTAAATCCATCCTGGGGTCCAGCACTGTGACATAGCAGGTAAAGCTGCTGCCTGCAGTGCCAGCATCCCATATGGGCACCGGTTCGAGTCCCGGCTGCTCCACTTCTAATCCAGCTCTCTGTTATGGCCTGGGAAAGCAGTAGAAGATGGCCCAAGTCCTTGGGCCCCTGCCCCCTGCTTGGGAGACCTGGAAGAAGCTCCTGGTTCCTGGTTTTGGATTGGCACAGCTCGGGCCGTTGCAGCCATCTGGGGAGTGAGCCAGCGGATGGAAGACTCTCTCTCTTTTCCTTTCCCTCTGCCTCTCTGTAACTCTGCCTTTCAAATGAAATAAATAAATCTCTAAAAACTAAAAGAAAAAAGCACAAGAGTTTTGATAAATACAATACCATGCTAAACACCCCGTGTGTGTGTGTGTGTGTGTGTGTGAGAGAGAGAGAGAGAGAGAGAATCTCTTGCTCTATCGTGTTTCGGTCCCCTTAGAGGATGTAGAGCAATGGGAACTGTTCTGCAACACCGATGAGAAGGTACAATGGTACATCTGCTGTGGAAGGCGATTTGGTGGGTCCTCAAACAGTTAAACATAAATCAGCACACGATCCAGCAGTTCCACGTCCAGGAACCCACCCAGAAGAATTCAGAGCAGGAACTGTGTTACTTGTACACCAGTAGTCAAAGCAGCATGATTCACAGTAACCAAAACATGGAAACTGCAGTCAACAAACGAATAGATAAACAAAGCAGCCACTGGATCCATACAATGTAACATTACTCGGCCTTAAAGGGGACTGAAATTCTCACCCACACTGTGACTGGGATCATTACGCTAAGTAAATATTCAGACAGAAAGGGCTACCATTCCTATGCAGTGCCTAAAGTAGGCTAATTCAGAGACACAAAGTAAGACAGGGGTTACTCCTGACTGGGGGAGTTACTGCTGCACTCCCCAAATGCCTGCAATGCCAGGGGAAGGGCCTGGAACCAGCTTCCCTGAGGTGGGCAGGAATGCAACTACATAGGTTTCCCTGCTGCCTCCCAGGACCTGCATTGGCAAGAAGCTGGAGCCAGGAGCCAGAGCCAGGTGTCCGACCCAGGCAGTGCAACATGGGAAGCGGGAGTCTTAAGACAGACGCACCCCTTCCCCTACCTCCCAGGCTTTGCCGACACCAGCAGCGTCGCACTCGGCAACTGCCCTTAAACTGCTTCTCCAGTCATCAGAGAAATGAAATCAAAGTACGTAATAGGAGCATTGGTTTCTCATGTTCAGGGCACGGGGCCTGGGATTGGGCCAGGGAGAGCCAGGGACGCTCACTTGCATTAGTGTAGATATCTCCAGCCTGGCTTTGTGTAGGAGTTCCCACAGCCTGGTCCACCACAGAGAGGCAAGGCTGCAAGTCAGCTCAGCCATAGGGCAGGGGAGGGAGGGGTTTGCTTGCAGATGAAAAGGGCTGGGCTTGCACGGTTCTTACTGTGAAGCTTCCAGAGAACTGACCACACCAGATGTAGCCAGCAGCCAGCAGCCGGGGGGCCCTGGGCAGCAGACAGTCAAATGGCCATTCTTTGATTTGTTCACTCATTCGTTTGTTTAGCAAGTATGTGTACAGGTTTCTTCTTGTCAGGAAGTTGAGCTTGGCTTTGCTGGGGCCTGGGGGAAGAACCGGAAGTGCAAATGCCCTGTGCTGAGGGGCATATGACCACCACAAGACCCCGGGCCAAACACAACGGCCAGGGAAGTGCTAGGGCTGGCGCCGCACTTCTGGGAGGAAGCCACCACTCTCGCCCAGCAGCCTTCCAAGCCACGTTCCTCCTCTGTGACCCCTGCTGGAGGCTCGCCAAGCAACGTGGAGTCTGGAAATGTTACCCAGTCCTCCTCCCTTTAGTTCCTTTTCTTTTTTTTTTTTTGCCAGATCTGACAAGGGGCAGCTCCTTACCTGGGGAAGTGGCCTGCCTGGGCAAAGCTGGCTCTGGAGGGGCCGTCCTGGCTCTGGGCTTGCTCTCTGTGGGATCGTGGCTAAGTTCGCTTCAGCTCCTTGGGCCTCCATTTTCCTCTCTGTAGAATGGGGATAATAATGCCAGCTTAGAGTTCTGCGGGAAGAAATGAGCAACGCCAGTGATGATCTCAGCAGAGCCTCGCCCATGGTAGGCATCAAACACTTTCTGGTTCTTATTTTCATCATCATTAACTCACAACGGGGGAACAGGATGTCGGGGTACAGCCAATACATCTAGGAAGGCGGCAGAAGATGGCCTAGGTGCTTGGGCTTCTGCCACCCAGGTCAAACACCTGGATGGAGCTCCTGGTTTCTATATTGGAATGCAGTATATTGGGCCCAGACTGGGAGATTTGATGTGTGTTTCAAAATATATTGGTTTGAAGGCCAGCGCCGCGGTTCACTAGGCTAATCCTCCGCCTTGCGGAGCCGGCACACTGGGTTCTAGTCCCGGTTGGGGTACCGGATTCTGTCCCGGTTGCCCGTCTTCCAGGCCAGCTCTCTGCTGTGGCCAGGGAGTGCAGTGGAGGATGGCCCAAGTGCTTGGGCCCTGCACCCCATGGGAGACCAGGATAAGTACCTGGCTCCTGCCATCGGATCAGTGCAGTGCGCCAGCCGCAGCGCGCTGGCGGCAGCGGCCATTGGAGGGTGAACCAACGGCAAAAGAAAGACCTTTCTCTCTCTCTCACTGTCCACTCTGCCTGTCAAAAAATTAAAATATATATATATATATATATTGGTTTGGGAGTTGGGGACACGGACTTGGGAGGATTTCTGTCCGGAGAGCACATTTTAGTGCCAAGAATTTTTGGGTAGAATTCAAAGTAGCCATGGAACAGAGGGGCAGGGCTAAGGGAACAGCTCAAGATCGGAGTGGTTAGAGCCTGTGGGATGTGGGGGTGTGCTCTGGGGTGCGGCCAGAGCTGAGAAACCCGGAGGGGAAGAGCACTGCCGTTATATGAAAGACTTTTGCTGTGTAGTTCACCCTCATTATTTTATAGAGAGGTCTGCTCCTTGCTCCCCAGCATTCCTGCTGCTGGATTTATGCCTGCATTCTTTACCTGTTGACTCTGCTCCTAAGTCTTCTATACAGAGTGCGGTATTTCCTCCTGCACTCCTTAGACAGCTCTAACCATCGGGTCTCTATGGTCTGACTCGGATAATTTAAGGTCTCCTGGGTTCTGACATTCTGCAGTTTCATGACATTGCATCACACATGATTTTATTATCTATCCTTCCCAAACCTGAGAATTTCTTTCTTCAATTCTGGAAAATGAGTCACCATTATCTGTTTGAAAATTATTTCTCAAAGCCTTTTTTTTCCTGCTTCTTGAACCCCTATTGGTATTTAGACTTTCTTAGCCTCTCCTGCATCTTTAACTTTTTGTTCAGAATTTCCATCCTGTGTTACATTGCTAGCCTTTTCCTCTGTCTTCCAATTCAGTAGCTTTCACTTCAGCTGTGCCTAAACTATTTAACTCACCAGGGGAGCTTTTATTTTCAGTGAATATATTTTGACTTTCAGGAGTTTTATTTAGCTCTTTTTCTTTTTTTAAAGGTTTATTTATTTATCTGAGAGGCAGAGTTAGAGAGAGAGAGATCTTCCATCCGCTGGTTCACTCCCCAGATGGCTGCAATAGCCAGGGCTGGGCCAGGTGGCACCAGGAGCTTCATCCAGGTCTCCCACTTTGGTGCAGAGGCCCAAGCACCTGAACCATTTTCTGCTGCTTTCCCAGGCGCATTAGCAGGAAACTTGATCGGAAGTAGAACAGCCAAATAGCCCGGACTCGAACTAGCTTTACCTGCTGATCCACAATGTCGCTCCTTATTCTATAGTCTTCCTGAGGGCCATACTCTTGTATCTGAAGCCCCTAGGGGTGTAACCTGCTGTGTGCAACACGGCTGGCTCCTACTCATTCAGGGAAATTTGTTCTGTCTTCTGCGTTTCTGGGTTGTGAGTTCATGAACAGAAAGGTGAGCCCTCTGAGACCTGAGCAGGGGCATCCCCCTTTCCTCTTGAGCTGTTTTACATTCGTTTCTACAAATTTCCCTGGAATATTTCTGGTCTGGTCAGGGACCAGTTTTGTTGGTCAATGGCCACCACGATAAAACAAACTGAAAAAAAAATTGTATGTAGGAAGCTGACTCCTGTTGAGGAAATATAATTAAAAACATAACCTCCTAACCCAGAGATCTTCTCCTCAAAGGTAGCAGAGAAAGGAAACAGTTTTTTAAAAAATTGGAGGCCAGCATTGTGATGTAGGGAGTTAAGCCACCACCTATAATGCTGGCATCTGAAAGGGCATTGGTTTGAGTCCAGCACTACCAGCTGCTCCACTTCTGACCCAGTTCCTTGCTAATGGCCTGGGGAAAGCAGGAGAAGATGGCCCAAGCGCTTGGGCCCCTGCCACCCACGTGGGAGACCTGGTAGAGTTCTGGGCTCTTGGCTTTGGACTGGCAGAGCCTTAGCTGTTTTGGCCATTGGGGGAGTGAACCAGGGAATGGAAGATCTGTTACTCTGACTTTAAATAAATCTTCAAAAAAAATTTTTGGGGGGCTGGCGCAGTGGTATAGTGGGTAAAGTGGCCTCCCACAGTGCTGGAATCCCATGTGGGCACCAGTTTGAGTCCTGGCTGCTCCACTTCCAGTCCAGCTCTCTGGTATGGCCTGGAAAAGCAATAGAAGATGGCCCAAGTCCTTGGGCCCCTGCACCTGCTTGGGAGACCCGGAAGAAGCTCCTGGCCTTTGGCTTCGGATTAACCCAGCTGCAGCTGTTGCGGCCATTTGGGAAGTGATTCAGCAGATGGAAGACCTCTTTCTCTCTCTAACTCTGCTTTTCAGATAAACAAACCTTTTAAAAAATGTTTTTGAATAGGCATTCAACTGGCATGCGATGCAAGTTCCAGTTAACCCTCTGAGAGGCTGTGCAGACAAGAAGGAATCTCACTCGGTGCGGAGCGAAGCAAAAGCGACGCGGCACCCACACGCGTCCAAGACAGCCAAGTCCTCAAGGAGACGGCCTGGCTACACCGCTCAGCGCCGCCCTCTATCCTGACTCTCCCTGACGCCGGCGCACGGCCGGCTTCGAGGGCAGCAGATCAAACATCTCACACTTGCAGAAGCCCGGCCAGGCTTCAGAGCCCCCATGCACCTGTCCAGGCCGGGACAGGCGCTTGATTCCGGGGCTCTGAGTAACACGCGCCCAGAGGGAGCGGAGGGAAACCTCCCGCTTTCCACCACCAACGCGACTGGGCGGCGAGACAAAGCCGAGTCCCCGGACGGCGGCGCGGGGGCCCCGCACCCACAGAAGCGGAGCCCGGAGAAACCGCAGGTCACGGGAGCCCAAGGAGGCAGATCTCGGGGCACCCATTGCGGTATCCCCTGCGTTCCGGGCGGGGCGCGGTGGACCTGTCGGGGGCCTAGCAGCGGCGGGGTGGGGCACTTGGTGCTCCGGCCAGCCGGGGACCCAGCCCCTTGCCACACGCATCAGGCACGCTCCGGCGCCCCGAAGCTGCCGGCTACTGGGGAGACGCCCCTGTGACCATTCGCGGTGGCTCCGCCCCCCCCGCCACCGCCGTGACCCGCCTCGCCAGCGGCGCTGTTTTTTGCGCAGGCGCAGGCCATGTCTCGCGGCGGGTGACGCAATCCAGCGCGGCCAGTGGGTGGTGGCGGCGGCATACGTCAGATTACGTAACTCTGTCCGAACGGTCGCCGCAGCGCGACGTGCGCGCGCAGCCCCTGTCCCGGCCTGTGTGGAGGAGGGACGTGGTGGGCGGTGTCTGCGGGGCGGGGCGGGGCTCGCGGCGGCCAATCGGCGGTCCCCGCGCCTGGTGCCGCGCCCCGCCCAGCCAGGCCGGGTAGTTCCTGCGGGCCTGGTCCGGCGGACGGCGTCTGCGGCGGGGCCGCTGGCTGGGAGGTGAGTGTGCGGTCCGCAGGGGCCCCGGCGAGCCTCGCTGCCGCTGCCCGGCTGTCCGCAGGTCCCGGCGGCGCTGAAGAGCGGCGGACCTCGGGATACTGGGGCAGGACCGTGTGCGGCCGAGCCCCGGGGTGCGGGCCGGGTCCACGCGGCCCCGGATGCCTGCGTCGGCGAGGAGGGGCTTGGCCCTGGCCGCAGCATTTTGTGGTGCGGGTCGCCTTTGAGAGGCCGGAGGTTCACGGCGCGGGGTCAGCCAGGGGACCGGAAGTCCGACCGTAGACCCACGCCCCCTGTGCCGAGCTGGCGAGCCGCGTCTGGGTGCCCCGGGCTCGGGCTGCAGGCGTCCGTGCGGGGGCCGGGCGGCAGCGGCGCGGAGTTGAAGTGGGCGCGGGGCACCAGGCCGCAGGCACTGGAGAAGTCGCCCCGGGGCGCCCGCAGGCACGCACGTCCGCCCGAGGCCGGCAGACTGGGGGTGGGGGCTGGCCGGGGGACAGGGGCGCCGGGCCCCGGGTTCCTGAGGAGACCTGGGGCTTCAGGGAGCGTGTGGGGCCCAGCGGACAGCTGAGGCATGGCCGGAAGCGGTCCGAGGAAGGTGGGCGCAGGGTCCAGGGCATAAGTCTGGGGGAGGGGCAGCGGTTACCTCTGCGCGCCCACTGCACTGGACGGACTTCTGGGGCCCAAGACGGCGCTTAGGGGCTGCGGAGAGCAGCTTTGCTTTGAGGCCGGAGCCCAGCCGGGCAGGCCCAAGCTCAAGTCCAGGCCAGCCCCTCACTACCACCTTGTTAGGGCTTCTGTGTTTCTGCATGGGGAGCTAGCAACAAGGAGCCCCCCACCGGCCACCTGCAGAGGGGAAACCCACGGTTCAGCCGCACCCTTGGGGCTTGCACTGTTTCGGGACAGGAACAGTCCTGCAGGTTGTAAAGCGTTTAGGGGTGGTGATGGGATTCTGAGCTACTTTCCCCAGTTTTCCTCACGGAAAGACGGTATTTACAGGTTTGTTTCCACAGGCAGAGATGATTTCTCTAGCGAGGACGGCGTTGTGGCACAGGGGGTTAAAGTGCCACTTGCCCTGTTGGCATCCCATATCTGACAGCTGGTTCCAGGACCAGCTGCTGGCTAATGAGCCCCTGCGTGAAAGATCCCGATGGAGTTCTGGGCTCCTGGCCTAGCCCTTGCTAGCCCGGGGGAGTGAACCAGTGGATGGAAGGTGTATTTCTCTAGATTTTTTTTATAAAAATGATTCTCTGAGGTTTGCTCCCAGAGAGTGGCTAGCATGTTTCCTTTTAATTATCTGGTTTCCTGGCCAAAGAATCAGACGTTGTTGCCATAAATTCTGTCACAGTTTTAGGGCATGTCTGTAAGCAGATTAGAAAATGACCTTGGGGGCCTGCATGGTGGCCTGTGACACCAGCATCCATATGGGTGCTGGTTTGAGTCCTGGCTGCTCTGCTTCCAATCCAGCTCCCTGCTAATGCACTTGGGGAAACAACAGCCGATGGCCCGAGTGCTTGGGCCCCTGCCACACACATGGGAGACCCGGATGGAGTTCCAGGCTCTTGGCTTCCGCCTAGTGCAGCCCTGGCCATTGCAACCATGTAGGGAGTGAACCAGCAGATGGAAGATCTCTCTCTTCCATAACTCTGTCAAGTAAATCTTTAAAAACAAAAATGGATGACCTTGATAAGCAAGTTATTGTTTTGTTTTTAGATTTATTTTATGTATTTGAAAGACAGAGTTACAGAGAGAGGTAGACAGAGAGGTCTTCCATCTGCTGGTTCACTCCCCAGTTGACCACAATTGCCAGAGCTGCGCCAGTCGGAAGCTAGGAGCCAGGAGCTTCTTCTGGGTCTACCACATGGGTGCAGGGGCCCAAGGACTTAGGCCATCTTATAATTTCCCAGGCCACAGCAGAGAGCTGGATCAGAAGAGGAGCAGCCGGGTCTTGAACCTGCACCCATATGGGATGCCGGTGCTTCAGGCCTGGCCTTTAACCTGCTGCACCACAGCGCCAGCCCCCAAGTTATTGTTTGAATGTATTCCATTAATGATAGTTTTGGTTGTATTTGTTTATCACTGGAGGAAACCTTAGGAAAATGTTCTCTTATTTCATGCAAATATCATCTTTGGAAAGGGCACTGTGAGCTCCAGGACACTGCTGGCTACATGTGCCCATGGGCAGAGCCAGGCTGTTAATGGCGCTGGTACCTCCGGTGAACACAGACGCCTCTCGTGATTTGCAGCTCTTCTGCTTGGGGGGTTGTTAAAACTGCTGTTTGTGTCTTCACAGCTGGTTTTGGAAAGGAAGATGGAAAGTGGCGCGGTGCTGCTGGAATCCAAGTCCTCGCCGCTGAACCTGCTGCACGAGATGCACGAGCTGCGCCGCCTGGGCCACCTGTGCGACGTCACGGTCAGCGTGGAGTACCAGGGCGTCCGCAAAGACTTCATGGCCCACAAGGCTGTGCTGGCGGCCACCAGCAAGTTCTTCAAAGAAATGTTCCTTAACGAGAAGAGCGCCGACGGGGCCAGGACTAACGTGCACTTGAATGAGGTGCAGGTCGTGGACTTCGCTTCGTTCCTCGAGTTTGTCTACACTGCCAAGGTGCAGGTGGAAGAAGACCGGGTGCAGCGGATGCTGGAGACGGCCGAGAAACTGAAATGTCTGGACTTGTCGGAAACGTGTTTTCAGCTCAAGAAGCAGATGCTGGAGTCGGTGCTTTTGGAGCTGCAGAATTTCTCAGAGTCCCAGGAGGCAGAGGCCAGTGGCGGCCCCCAAGTCGGAGTTGGCCCCGACCCCCGGGCAGGTGCACTGGGCATGGACGGGGCTCACCCCAACGGCCTGGTGGATCGCTCAGACTACCCAGGGGAGCAGATGAGCAATGGTGTGTCACCAGGCACACCGCCGAGGAAGTCCAAGGAGAAAGCGGACAAGAAGAAGGATGTGGCTAAGCCTCCCTACCCCAAAATCAGAAGAGCCAGCGGGAGACTGGCCGGAAGAAAGGTCTTCGTGGAGATCCCTAAAAAAAAATACACGAGGAGGCTGCGAGAGCAAGAGACAGGTGCCGAGGGCGGCTCGGGAGACCCCGGGACCGCGCAGGCCCAAGACCCAGAGAGCGCGGGGATGGAGACCGGGCCCCTTACAAAAGTTGAGGGGGGTGGGGCTGGCATGCAGGTGGCAGACCCCCTTCCAAAGGCAGCCGGGGAGGGGGAGGAGGAGGAGGAGGAGGAAGAGGAGGAAGAGGAGGAGGGGGGTGCGGCGGAGAAGAGGAGGAGCAACCTGAAGTGCGGCGTCTGTGAGAAGGCCTTCTTGTACGAGAAGAGCTTCCTGAAGCACATCCGGCGGCACCACGGCGTGGCCAGCGAGGTGGTGTACCGCTGTGACACCTGCGGCCAGACCTTCGCCAACCGCTGCAACCTGCGCAGCCACCAGCGCCACGTGCACAGCAGCGAGCGGCGCTTCCCCTGCGAGCTGTGCGGCAAGAAGTTCAAGCGCAAGAAGGACGTGAAGCGGCACGTAGTACAGGTGCACGAGGGCGGCGGCGAGCGGCACCGCTGCGGCCAGTGCGGCAAGGGCCTGAGCTCCAAGACGGCGCTGCGGCTGCACGAGCGCACGCACACCGGCGACAGGCCCTACGGCTGCACCGAGTGCGGGGCCAAGTTCTCGCAGCCGTCAGCGCTCAAGACCCACATGAGGTGTGCAGTGCACAATGGGCGGGCGGGTAGTCAGTTTGTAGTACACCTGTCGGTGGGCAGTGCTCGATGGGTCAGTGCTCAGTACTTAGGTCTGAGACCCACACCAGCAAGTAAAGGGCCCTCCTCTCAGTTCTAGGCTGGATTTGGGGGTGCTATCGTGGTGCCCCTCATCTTTTGCTCGCTTTGGAGTCAACACAGTTGGCTCAGGCAGTGCTCAGTGAAGCAAGGTTGAGAGCCACTTCCCACGAGCTGGGAGCACCAGACGCTGGGGCCGCTTCTCAGAATCCAGGTTCCACAGCGCCATGACCTCCAGACTGGCCATGTCATGTCCCGCCGTGGCGGGAATGTTCTTGATCACGTGCTGCTGCCCTCACAGTACTTCCCCGGGCTGCTTGTGGCTGGTCCTAACGAGGAAGCTTTCAAAACCTGAAGCAGCTCTCCTCACTCAGCGTGTTAAACAACTTGCACAGGCTTGGCCTGTCCCTGCACGTGCCTTCCAGCATACGCAGTGGGTCTCCCGAGCAGGAGAGAGGTGTGTGCAGGCACCCCGTGCATTCTGGGATGGAGAGCGTGGCCCGCCTGCTCCTCGGGCCTTTGCAGGAAATGATGTGTGCGCGGTCGAGTGGACACCATGTTGTGAAGTGGGCTTTGACTCGCACCCCGAGTTACCATGTGAATGTTGTGCTTTCAGAATCCACACCGGGGAAAAACCTTTTGTCTGTGATGAGTGTGGCGCAAGATTCACCCAGAACCACATGCTGATTTATCACAAAAGGTGCCACACAGGTAAGCGCTCACGCTAAGCACTCAAGCTGTCGGGATTCCGGGGCTCAGCTAGCTGTAGAAGGGAAGCCAGATGATTGACAAGTGGGCACCTCCTGCCGGAGTGGTGCAGGCTGAAGCCAGGACACAGCTCTTCCATCTATGAGCAGACAAGTGACAGGGTGACCGTGTACAGGTGTACTGTGGCCTGCACAGTACACACCAGGCACCAGGGCCCGGGCGTGAGTCTTCGGGGTCAAGAGATAT